ACCTGTGTGAGTAACATTACTAGTTGTAGTCTTTGATGTTAATCAAAGAAAGCTTGATATGCTCGACCTTTGTTCTATCCCTTAGGTATGCTAGATAGACATTATCCAATAGCACCCTATAAATTATGTAATTCTTTAAAATAATCAATAATGGGTATATTGCCCTTGCCAAAGCATTTAATTTATTTTTTAATTCAAAGACTTGAGAAGAATTTCAACCATCAGAATAATTTTTCTCTGTGGAAGTTACTCAAATATGAAATAGCTCCAATTACATATTATATTGAATTCCCCAAAACAGGACTAGAAGAGGTTGACGGTGAAAACAGGATAGGCGGTGTGTTGATTAGAGCTCTGGACAATGGTGCGTGGAGCTCACATGCTTGAAGAGGCTCACGAGTGTGGCTGTGTGTGGGGCTCTTCTAGGACTTGCGTTGGATTTTATTTGATTTGAAAATACTAAATAAAAATAATCAAATCAATCCTAATTAAAATAGATTAAAATAAATCAAATCTGAGTTTATTTTATTTAAGGAATTTTATATTTACTACCTATTTTCGTTTACAATCTCTTACAATCATATCTTAATTTTTGATTTTCGCCAATCAATAATTATTATTTTCATAAATCAAATTCATTAATTATATTAATTCGCGATAAATGATAACCGTTGATTGGCGGAAATCAACGGTTAAGATATGATTGTAAGGGGTTGTAAATAAAAATAAGTCCTAAGTATAGCCTTTTTCATTTGATTTTATTTCGAAAGTATAATATAATTTTCAGGATGTTCCATAACAAGATGTGTGTGTTTTAGTTTAATTCTATTTCTTTTGATTTGGATTACAATTCTTTTCTGGTTGAGATTCATGGAATTTGGGGAAAAAATGCACTTAACAAATATCATAAGGATAACGAGACATAAAAATTTATGTTGTATAATAAACTAATGGTTTCCTTATATGCGTAAATAGTTTAAGAAGCTAGTTTCGTCTGTAAAGTTCTTATATCATGCTAGTTGACTCTCTTAATTATATTTTTCATGAAGTCATATGATTCCCATCTTTGATATTGAAAATAGATATTCCAAAACTTTTACTCTAGAAAAGGAAAGAAGTAACAAAATATAAATTATATAAATAAATATTAAAAATAAAAATCTTAATTTTTCCAGATATGTATAGCTGCTTGTTGATGAGTCTTGAGTGTGTGAGAAGTGGTGAAATATATATATATATATATATGGGTAGGATTCTTTGACACCGGTGTCAAATTTGAAATTTGACACCTCATCTGAGAGCCGTTAGATCAAAAAATATCAATGGTGTTATAATAACCCTAATTATATGACTTTTAAATTAGATGGTTATAATGAGGACCTTATAGTCATAAATGGAATGAGCATAAAATTATAAGAATTTTGATACCCATATTGAGGTATTATGCACAGATGAATTTTGATCTGTTAAATTTGACTGCTGACGTAATAACAGTTAGTAGAATAGCTCCAAGTTAGCAAATTATAGTTAGAGAGCTAATCTAATGATATAAACATCATGAATGAGGTTAGGATATGATTTGGTGAAGATTGATACCCATATTGGGGTATTTTTGAAAAGTCACTTCTGCCGGGTATTTTGTACTGCTGTAGTAGCATCCGGTAGAATCCCGGAACAGGAAAAAGATAAGAAAATAGAAATAAAGACCAATATATGCCTAACAAGTCATAATTAGACATAAAATGTTAAAGTTAAGAAGATTATGAAATCCGGGTACAGTTAAGAACACCGGTAAAGATTACAGTGCAATTAAACAACTGTTAGTGGATCTGTGATCTACTAATCAAATTTTTAAGTTATGAACATGATAATTAGACAAAATTAATGTTAAGTACTTAAAGTTAGAGTCTTGAGAGTTTTCGGGTAAAAATTTGACGACGGATCAGTTAAAAATTACACCGGGTCTCACTAAAGGACGAATATCACTTAAGTGACATGGCACCCTCGTCTCCTTCCCTTCCATTTCTGATCAGCAGCCCCTTCACCTCCTTCTCTCTCTAAGTTTCAAATTTTGAAAACTCTCTCACTTCTCTCTAAGATTTCTTCACCTAAATCTCTCTAAACCACCAAACTTCCTTCACAAAGATTGTTCCCCTCACTCTCCTCTTCACAACCATACCATTTTCATGGTGTGAATAAAAAATTTCGTGTCCCTTATCATCCCAAACAGCTATGGTTTTGTGGAGAGCAAAGGCTATGGAGTTGTGTTCTTGAGCTCTCTTGAAGAATCACATTTGCTTGCTTGTTTCCTTTGATTTTTGGGTAAGTGTTCTTAAATTTTTTTCATGAAAAATATCATCTTTTCTTCTTATGTTCTTGAGCCTAACTCATGAGCATGTTCATGAAGGTGTGTGCTTGCCTAAAGGAGTGTTCTTGGTGGAAAAAGGTGGAGACTTGAGCTAAAGGAGAAACCTTGAAGATGTAAGCTCCCACTTGGGAAATATGAACCAAAAAGCCTCCCTTTTTCTTGTTGAGTGCCTTGGTTTTGATATGTTCATGAGGAGAATGTTGTTTAAAATTTCGTAATGTCATGGTTTGATGATGATTCTTAAGTGTGTGTGTGTTTGGAACCATGGAATGATGGATTGGATGACTAAAGGTGCCACCTTTGGACCTTTTAGTGATGTTCATGTAAAAAGATGACTATGAACTCAAAAATGGACCATGAACATTTCAGCCATATCATCTAAGGATAGGGTTTGATGACAAAAAAATGTGATTAAGTTGTTAAGTGTGGAAAAATGATTAGAAAGATTAACTAGGTGGGTTAACTCTAAGTAAAACTCACTAATCATGATTAATAATGGCTAAAAATCCTAATTAATATAGCTAATCAAATCTGCCCCATAAAGTACATAAGGGTTTAGTTGTGTTAAAATTAAGGAGATGATGAATTAGGTGATTAATTAAGGGTAGAGATTAATTAACAAAAGTAATCAAGGATTGAACGCTAAAATTGGACTAAAGTAAGGTTTAGGTACACTAATTAAATAATTAGTAAAATTTAAGTATCATGACATAATGGGACTAAGGATATTTCATAATGTGACTTAATAATAGAAAAATCCAAGAATTAATGTGAATTAGGATTTATAATCAAAAGTAATTAAGGTTTGTTAAGTAAACACATTTAAGGCTAAGTAACCAGTTTTTAGGAAAAATTGGGGAGAGCATATCTTCCTCCAAAGAGGTCATATAGGGATGTGCCTTATATCAAATTGAAGATTGAGATGTTATCTACGTGGTGTCAAAATTTGGTATCAATTGAAGATATATTCCATTCTGTATGTTCGTTTGAGTGAGGACTGCACAGGGAGGCATGTGCAGGGGCGCTGTACATGGCTGACACTTCCATGAATTTTTTCTCCCTCAATTATTACTCAAATTAGGCTCATAATATGTCTAATTAAATATAAAGGTGTCTAGTTGTCTACATAAAAATTTTAGAGCAATTGATTTAGTAGAATTTCCATAATCGCAGAAATGGTAAAGGATGTTTAGGGCCCTGTTCGGAGTTGGCAAACAGCTTTGTTTGTCCAACTTCAAATGGTGATAACCGGAGCTAGGAAACTTCAAATGAGGCATATGATACCTTTTTGGAAAGTTAATTGAGTCTAGATTAACATACTAAAAGATGAGAATTTTATAACAAGTGAGTCACGCCCAGTAACTAGAAAACAGAAGCATGTACAGTTATGGAAAAACCGTAAAAGTGATATTTAAGCTAAGTGGGCTTAGGGGAACCCTTAGTAACTTATAATAATCATAAATATGACTTGGATGAGTTGAAAATAATCTAAGTGAGCCTTGCATGTGATTCTAAGCTATGTAAGTAATTGAAGATTAAAGTGGCTTGTAATAATGCACTAAAATATGTAATAAGTAATAATTGGTCTAGGCTTGTAATGGGCATATTATTGGCATATGAGTATGAAAAGTGGAATCATTAAATGATTAAGTCGTGGATATGACTTGATTAATTAATATGTAATTAATTATGTGAATGGTTCCTACTCTAGGTGTGCCTAGAGAACCGAGCACTTGAGGATTTTGTTGGAGCATACGTATTATATTGGAGTGTGGGCTTGTGCTAAGCTCCCTAAGGTAAGCTCCTAGTTCTAGTTGACTCCTCTCTCTTGTGGCCCCACCATGATGGTGGGCATTATGGTTATATTGTATGGAAGTATATGGAATGATGTATATGTGCATTCATTCACATTCATATAGATGTTATATGATCTTGATGTTATGATGATGCACTATTTAGGCTCATGATAGTATTCTTAGAGCCATGGATTATTTACTGATACTTTTATACTTCGAATTAATATAGACTTGATGCATGTATTCAGTTAATTTGGGCATGGAGCCTTATTAGTTGTATTGACCCATTAAGGGGATTGCAGTCCGTGTGGGACTTGCAAGCTATCTGTTTAAATTGTTGTATTAATTAGGTTATCTGTATGTGTAGAATCATGTTTCTAGTTATCCGAAATACAGCCGTTATGCTGTCCGTGAGACTCCGTCAGGAATGACACTTGATGTCATATCTTGATGGTCAATGGCCACTAATACTGGCTCATGGGATTAATTAGTAGATGTATATAGATTTACGCTTTCGCAGTATCTGACGTGAACGTTTTTAGAAATGTTTTTATGAAATGTTTTGGAAAAAGTTTACTCGTATTTTTATAAGATGCTTTATTCCTTTTCAAATAAAGTCTTCCGCTGTGAATGTTAAATATCATGTATGTTAACAACCGGAGTACTACGGGGTGTTACATTTATGGTATCAGAGCAATTTCACCGGGACGTTCACTGATGTATTGCTTAAGTGTTAGAACTGTTTATTGAGTGTCTCTTGAGTGTCATGATATTGCATATGCTATCACTTGATTGAGCGTAGCTAACTCATACCTCGTGCAGTTTTGTGTAGTGACATGGCACCTCGAGGGAGACCCAGGCGAATAGTTCAAATCCCTCCTCCTGATCCTATTGTTGCAGCTATAGCAACATTGCAGCAGACCCTGAATGAAACCAGGGAAGCTGATTTGAAAAGAATCGAAGAGGCCAGAGATCGCGATAGAGAGCAGCTAAGAAAGGCCAGTGAAGACCTTATGGCGCAGAATAGGCTGGCCAATGCTGAGATGATCCGACTACTGTTGACAGAGGTACGAGGAGGACCTCCACCACCTTCACCACCTCCTCCACCGCCAGTTACACCACATGTGCAGCAGCAGGTTGCACGTGCTGCTGGTCCCGTACAGATTCTTGAGCCTGTTGTGCTGGGACATGAAGGGTCAGGAGAGGCCCATCAGGAGGCGGAGGCATCTGTCCATGAAGGACTAGTGAGGCAGCCAATTATTGAGGTTGATAGATCAGCTATACCACCCAGGTTTGACCGGGATACTAGAGAGCGTATGCTGAATGCTTTCAGGAAGCATTCCCCACCTCACTACAAAGGTGGAAGAGATCCCATTGCAGCATTGGAGTGGCTCCAAGAGATGGAGCGTATTTTTCAGGTTATGGAATGCGATGCCAACATGAAGCTCCTATATGCGGTGTACATGTTACAGGGGGATGCTGCTGACTGGTGGAGTAATGTTAGAAACCCACTTGAGTGCCAAGGTTATGCTATTACTTGGCCATTATTTGAGAGGCATTTTCTGCAAAAGTACTTCCCTGAAGAAGCCAGGGAAAGGAAGAAGAGTGAGTTTGAAGACCTCCGGCAGGGAGGCATGACTGTGGATGAATATCTCAGCAAGTTCAACCGCTTGGCAAAATATTCTTGTTATGGTAGAACTCCCCTCACTCCAGAAGACAAGGCCTTTCGATTCAGGAAGGGTCTGAATGATATGATAGCAGACAAACTGGCGGGTCATTGCACCAGAAATTTTGTGGAGTTGATCAAGCAGTGCCAGAATATTCAGGAGCACTATCGTACCAGGGGAAAGGAAGCAGCAGGAAAGAGCTTCAGTGGGAGGACTACGCCCTGGAAGGGTAAGGGCAAGGGTTTGCAAGCACAGCAGAACACCAAGTTTAAGAAGACTCCCTTTGTGAAGAATGGAAGCGGAATGTTTAGTGCAGGGAAGATTCCCACTTGTGCCAAGTGTGGGAAGATGCATACAGGTGTTTGTCGACTGGGGCAGAATGTTTGCTTCAGTTGTGGTCAGGCAGGTCATTATTCCAGAGAGTGCCCCAAGAAGACGGGGCAAGTTGCAGCCATTCAGGCGATCCCTATTCAGTCCGTGCCTACTCAGAGAGCCATAGAGGAGCCTATGGCGCCCACTAGTGCCAGGGTATATGCAGTGACACAGCAGGAGGCAGAGAGGTCTCCAAACCTTATCAGAGGTACTATTCTTATCAGAGGATATGCTTTTGATGCCATGTTTGATTCTGGAGCTACCCACTCCTTCATATCGGAATTTGTTGCTAATGGGGTACATTTACCCATTTGTGAGTTCACGCCTCCCATGGTAGTGAAGACTGCCACCGGAGACATTGTTTCTACTTCCTTGAAGTGCAAAGAAGTCAGATTCATATATGAGCAAGAAGAGTATATGGTGGATTTGATAGTGCTTGAGGGCATGAATCTACACATTATCTTAGGTATGGATTGGCTGGTCCGATATGGTGTGATGCTAGATTGTTGTAGCAGAAGGGTTTTCTTTGCTGCAAAAGGAGAAAAACCGGACAGTTTGTACTTGACGGCACAAAAATTAAATAAGGCTCTAAATGAGGGAGATGCAGGATACATTATCCTGGGAGGACTCGTAGGAGACTCCAAAGAACCTACTGCTAATATTCCGGTTGTATGCGAGTTTGAAGATGTATTTCCGGAAGAAATTCCTCATTTTCCACCTGAGAGGGAGATTGAATTCTCAATTGACTTAGTACCTGGTGTGGGGCCTATCTCATTGGCTCCATACCGGATGTCACCAGTGGAGCTAGCTGAGCTGAAGAAGCAGTTAGAAGAATTATCCCGCAAGAACTTTATCAGACCGAGTGTATCTCCTTGGGGTGCACCAGTCATCTTCGTGAAAAAGAAGGATGGGACTATGAGGTTGTGCACTGATTATCGACAGTTAAACAAGGTAACAGTAAAGAACAAGTATCCTCTACCACGCATTGATGATCTGTTGGATCAGCTCAGGGGTGCTTCAGTGTTCTCAAAGATTGATCTTCGTTCCGGATATCACCAGATTCGGGTAAAAGCAGAGGATATTCCGAAGACGGCTTTCCGATCTAGATATGGGCACTATGAGTATCTAGTGATCCCATTTGGGCTTACTAATGCCCCGGCCGTGTTCATGAGTTATATGAACCGAATTTTCAAACCACATTTAGATCAGTTTGTTGTGGTATTCATTGATGATATTCTGATCTACTCCAAAAGTAAGGAAGAACATGCAGAGCATTTGAAGATAGTTCTACAGATTTTAAGGGAGCATCAGTTATATGCCAAACCATCCAAGTGTGAGTTTTGGTTACATGAGATCCAGTTTCTTGGACACGTCATATCATCTACAGGAGTGGCTGTTGATCCGAGTAAAATTGAAGCTGTGCTGGATTGGGAGAGACCCAAGAGTGTTTGAGATCTGAAGTTTTCTGGGTTTAGCAGGATACTACAGGCGGTTTATTAATGGATTCTCCAGAATTGCCTTGCCATTGACTAGGTTGACCCGAAAAGGGGTGCCATTTGCATGGACCCTTGGGTGTGATGTGAGTTTTCAAGAATTGAAAGATAAGTTGACTACCGCACCGGTTCTGATTCTTCCTGATCCGGAGAAGAGATTTGAGATCTATTGTGATGCATCCAAGTATGGATTAGGGTGTGTGTTGATGCAGGAGCGAAAGGTAGTGGCCTATGCTTCTAGACAGTTGAGACCACATGAAGAGAATTACCCTACTCATGATCTTGAGTTAGCGGCCGTGGTTTTTGCATTGAAAATATGGAGACACTTCTTGTATGGTGCTACCTTCACAGTTTTTAGTGATCACAAAAGCTTGAAGTATCTATTCGATCAAAAGGAGCTTAATATGAGACAAAGGAGATGGATGGAATTCCTGAAGGATTATGAGTTTGACCTTCAGTATCACCCTGGAAAGGCGAATGTAGTGGCTGATGCCTTGAGGAGAAAGACCACGGGTGTGGCTAGCATGATGATTGCAGAGTATGATTTGATTGAGGAGTTCAGGGATTTGCGAATTTCTGTGACACCATTTGAGACTTCATATTTCATGACTACGGTCGAAGTCCGAAATTCGTTAATGGAAAAAGTTAAAGCGGCCCAAGTGCTTGATGAAGGGATCCAAATGATGAAAGAGCAAGATTTTGTGTTCACCGATGCTTCTCATGTGAAATACTACAAAGATCGATTAATTGTCCCGAAGGGACCAATGGTAGAAGAAGTGTTAACAGAGGGTCATATGGGTAAGTACACCATCCACCCAGGTGCAACTAAGATGTACCAAGATTTGAAACAGAATTCTTGGTGGTCTGGGATGAAGAAAGACATAGCCCAGTTTGTGAATAAGTGCCTTATTTGTCAGAAGGTAAAAATTGAGCATCAGAAGCCTTCTGGTTTGCTACAACCATTAGATATTCCGGAGTAGAAGTGGATGAGTATATCCATGGACTTTGTTGTTGGATTACCAAGAAGCCAGGCTGGATTTGATTCCATATGGGTTGTGGTTGATAGGTTGACTAAATCCGCCCATTTCATTCCAGTCAAGACGACCTTCTCCACAGAGCAGCTAGCCAAACTATATGTTAAAGAGATTGTAAAGCTTCATGGCATTCCCGAAAGCATAGTTAGCGATCGGGATCCGAAGTTTACTTCACGCTTTTGGGAAGCGTTACATGAGGCCTTTGGTACTCAATTGAGATTGAGTACTGCTTATCACCCGCAGACAGATGGTCAGACAGAGAGGACCATTCAGACACTGGAGGATATGCTGAGAGCGTGTGTGCTTGAGCAGGGTAATACTTGGGACAATTACCTGCCACTGGTTAAGTTCTCCTACAACAACAGTTATCATGCCAGTCTGGGCATGGCTCCTTATGAGACCTTGTATGGCCGTAGGTGTAGAGCACCTACTTGTTGGACGGAGATCGGAGAAAGAAAGTTATTGGGGCCAGACTTGGTCCAAGAGACTACGAAGCAGATTGAGATGATCAGAGATAGGCTGAAGAAAGCCCAGAGCCGTCAGAAGAGTTACTATGATGCCAAGCACAGACCCCTTGAGTTTTCTGAAGGGGATCATGTATTCATCCGACTATCACCTACTACAGGTGTTGGGCGTGCCTTGGGAGTGAGGAAGTTGAGTCCACGGTTCATTGGGCCCTACCAGATAATAAAGAGGGTCGGACCGGTGGCGTATCAACTTGCTCTACCTCCCAACTTGGCGAATTTACATGACGTTTTCCATGTGAGTAAACTCTGCAGATATATATCTGATGATTCACACATTGTACAGTATGATGACATAGTGGTTAAGAAGGACCTGAAGTTCGTTGTTGGACCTTCTAAGGTTCTTGCTCGAGATGTGAAACAGCTTCGAAATAGAGTTATTCCCATGATCAAGATCCAATGGGAAGGATTGACACAAGAGGATGCCACATGGGAGCGGGAGGATGATATTCTCCGGCAATATCCCGATTTTGATATCAGGTATGATATGATTTTGAGGACAAAATCTTTTAAAAGGTGTGGTGAATATAATAATCCTAATTATATGACTTTTAAATTAGAGGGTTATAATGAGGACCTTATAGTCATAAATGGAATGAGCATAAAATTATAAGAATTTTGATACCCATATTGAGGTATTATGCACAGATGAATTTTTATCTATTAAATTTGACTGCTGACGTAATAACAGTTAGTAGAATAGCTCCAAGTTAGCAAATTATAGTTAGAGAGCTAATCTAATGATATAAACATCATGAATGAGGTTAGGATATGATTTGGTGAAGATTGATACCCATATTGGGGTATTTTTGAAAAGTCACTTCTGCGATAAGGATGATATGATGATGCTATGTTTATGCTGTATGTCTGTATTATATGCTTTATATCTGACTTGTTATGCAGGAAGTGGGCTCAGGGGTTAGAGGATCCTCTGTGAACCTTGAGCTTACTGAGATGTTGTTATCTTACCCCGTTTGGGGACATCATTTCAAGTACCCAGAGTAGTGGTGATGCTTCTAGGGGCAAGGCCCCCGCATTGGAGTAGTTGATGATGCAGCTGATGATTTTATATTATGTTTAGATTTGATGTTGGCATGTAGACTTGTTAACATGCTTAATTATTTTATGGAGATTATTGTATGTATTTATTTAGGCTCATGATAGTATTCTTAGAGCCATGGATTATTTACTGATACTTTTATACTTCGAATTAATATAGACTTGATGCATGTATTCAGTTAATTTGGGCATGGAGCCTTATTAGTTGTATTGACCCATTAAGGGGATTGCAGTCCGTGTGGGACTTGCAAGCTATCTGTTTAAATTGTTGTATTAATTAGGTTATCTGTATGTGTAGAATCATGTTTCTAGTTATCCGAAATACAGTCGTTATGCTGTCCGTGAGACTCCGTCAGGAATGACACTTGATGTCATATCTTGATGGTCAATGGCCACTAATACTGGCTCATGGGATTAATTAGTAGATGTATATTTAGATTTACGCTTTCGCAGTATCCGACTATCTCCTTTCTTCCTTGTTTTTAGCCAAAGAAGATGAACCTGCACCGTTCCCAAAGTTGAACAAATCAAGTTCCATTGGAAATGAATCAGCTTGTGGATTATTGAACCCTCTCTTGCAAAAATAAGCCTCTTCCTGAGTGTTGTTTTCTCTCCTTTCTTCCTTGTTATTAGCCAAAGAAGATGAACCCGCACTGTTCCCAAAGTTGAACAAATCAAGTTCCATTGGAACTGAATCATTCTTAGTGGAGAGGTTCACGAAATCAAGTTGCATATGGGAATTTGAAGTTAGATCTCAAGGAGAATTATTCGAACCATGGGCTTCCATGGCACAAAGGCGAAAAGATGGAACCTTGTTGGATCTGAATTCTGAAGGAGAGGGAATGAAAACATAGGGGGCATGAGTCAAATGATAATAAGGCTTGTGAATCATGGACTTCATCCTAATCCCCAATGGCCTATTATTGGAGGCGCCGCCATAAAAGGGGTTCCGGGAAAAATTGTGATAAGAGCCAATAGCTCTATACTTTACTTGTGCACGCTCTTTCTTGTGGGCATTTTGATGCCCTACTAAAGCTTGTGGATTCTTGAACCCTCTCTTGCAAAAATAAGCCTCTTCCTCAGTGTTGTTTTCTCTCATTTCTTCCTTGTTATTAGCCAAAGAAGATGAACCCGCACCGTTCCCAAAGTTGAACAAATCAAGTTCCATTGGAACTGAATCATTCTTAGTGGAGAGGTTCACGAAATCAAGTTGCATATGGGAATTTGAAGTAAGATCTGAAGGAGAATTATTCGAACCATGGGCTTCCATGGCACAAAGGCGAAAAGATGGAACCTTGTTGGATCTGAATTCTGAAGGAGAGGGAATGAAAAAATAGGGGGCATGAGTCGAATGATAGTAAGGCTTGTGAATCATGGACTTCATCCTAATCCCTAATGGCCTATTATTGGAGGCGCCGCCATAAAAGGGGTTCCGGGAAAAATTGTGATAAGAGCCAATAGCTCTATACTTTACTTGTGCACGCTCTTTCTTGTGGGCATTTTGATGCCCTACTAAAGCTTGTGGATTCTTGAACCCTCTCTTGCAAAAATAAGCCTCTTCCTCAGTGTTGTTTTCTCTCCTTTCTTCCTTGTTATTAGCCAAAGAAGATGAACCCGCACCGTTCCCAAAGTTGAACAAATCAAGTTCCATTGAAACTGAATCATTCTTAGTGGAGAGGTTCACGAAATCAAGTTGCATATGGGAATTTGAAGTTAGATCTGAAGGAGAATTATTCGAACCATGGGTTTCCATTGCACAAAGGCGAAAAGATGGAAACTTGTTAGATCTGAATTCTGAAGGAGAGGGAATGAAAAAATAGGGGGCATGACGAAGATTATTAATATAACAATTGCATGAATGGTAAGATCTTTCAAAAATCCGAAAGGAATCTCATGCTGTAAAATCTTATTATTTTCATGATATATAGAATCATAGATTTGAAGCGATATGGACAATTTTACGCACTGATTTGTGGGTGATTTTTTCCTAAACAAAAATCCCTAAAATAATTTTAATTACAGTATATACTCTCTAATGCCACTAATTACTAAGTCAAAACATCCATAGCCAGAATATTTGAATGTGGTATTAGTAAAACACATCTTTTATGTAGTTCAGATATGGTATCAACATGATGCCACATTGTTAACATGGAAATTACTTGTTGAAAGAAAATTACTGGGGATGTCTCTAGCAGAAAAGTCAATGAAAGTAAATTGGGACACAATCTTTTTCGCATATAATTTTATTGAAATACAGCTGCTGTACGTGCAACAATCAAATATTTGCCATATATATACTTGAAAGCATTAAATGCGGAGAATCATAACCATACAAAGAAAAAAAGCATTAAATGTGAGGAATCCTTACGTTCCGAACATGATTGCATTATATATTTGCCATATATAACCTATCCGTTCCGAATAGGATTGCTTCCGTGGTGGATACCTGGGGTTTATAAAAGAAAAGAAAAGATAATAATATTATTAATTTGGCTTAAATTTAAAATGGACACAAACATATTATTATGAATGCATGAGAGTTTGTCTGAAAGTGTCTAAGGGAACTGAATAAACAAGGAAATTTTGGCTCTTTCACAAGTTTTAAATTTGAATTATTATTTTTTCATTATCAATTGAAGATTTTCTGGCACTAAATCAATTTTTAATTTTTTTTTCTTACTCTGTCCCGTATGCCCCCAACATTTCTGTATT